GGGCTCGCTGGGGGAAAGCTCAGCCGTCCTCCGTCCTCCCCGCGTGGAGTGACCAGTGCCGAGGCCGCCCGCCCTGGCCTGAGAGGGACACTGTGGTGAGCGAGTAAAACCACGCACAGCCCTCCAGCGCCTGCGGCCGGGAGCAGAAACGACTGGGGAGCCGTTTGAAAGCCGATGACGGCTGCCCTGTCCGCAGGTCGAGGGGAATGGCTGCACTTGGAGTCTCCTTGTTTAGTTAAGGAGTTTCAGCGGCAATAAGCGCTGAGCATGCACCTGGGGGAGGGTCATCTGAAGGGGAGCAGCCTTCTGCCTTGAGCTGGGGCCAGCCCTCGCCCTCCCGCCATGCGCAGGCGCCCAGAGCGGCTGAGCGGGCCCTGCTGTGTCCTGAGGGCCCGGAAGGACAGGCCACAGGTGCAGAGACAGAGCCTCCCACACCGCCAGGCTAGAGCCCTCATCGAGCCCTCACTGAGCACGAGGCATCCAGGCCATAGCGGCTGGGAGGAGGGAGATGGGGAGGAGGGCCACGTCCATCAACGCTCCCCGGCCCAGAGCCGCTCCTGTGGGGATCGCACTGCGGCTGTCTGTGGGGACGGCGCCACACGGGAGGGCGGGGGTGCACGAGCACGGAGGCAGGGCTGGGTGCAGGCCCACGGCCACGGCCACAGTGCACAAAGCACACGCTCTGCGCATTCAGGGAGCCGTGGCCACGCTCACACGGGCTCTTTATGGACGACCACCCCCTCCTCCGGACCTCGCTGGCCGGCTGCTGTCACAGGTCGCCACCTGGTTCTGCATCGTGTCGCTGTGTCAACGCTCTGTGCACTAAGTCAGCAAACTACCAGGAGCGCGCACTCAGCAGGCCAGCATCCTCTCTCCACGTCACGTCATTAAACTCCACTCCCGCACAACCGTCAGCACAAGAGGGGGTTATTCTAAGGTGAAGGGGACAGCCTTGCGCAGCCCCCACTTAAACAGAAAGCACAACCTAAGACGGTCGAGCTCACACTTTAATCTCCCCGTAATGTGGAAGATGTTATTTCCAGACCCGGCAATTAACTAGACCCCGTGGAGAAATCACGCCAGCATCCCTGACAGCAGTGAGTGCACAGGCGGGAACGGAGGCCCAAAGGCACCGGGAGTGCGCACCTCGCCAGGCGGTGGCAGCCCCGGCTCCAGAGCGAGGGCTGCCCACTCAGCGTTCCCGACTCCCTCACAGGACTGTGTCCTGGTTCTGTCCCTCAGGAGGGGGCGCTGCTGCCCCAGGGGTGGCCTCGGGGGTGCACGCTGCCCTGCCCCAGGGGTGGCCTCGGGGGTGCACACTGCTGCCCCAGTGGGGCCCAGGCTGGGCGAGGAGCCTCCTGCCACCCTGCAGGTGGGCAGAGTCCCAGGCCCCACAGCCAGCGCCCTGCCCGCCCCCCGCAGAGGCCTCGGGAGGCTCACCATCGATGCGGCCCACGAGCTCCTCCAGCATCCTCACTTTCATCTGGATCCCGGGCTGCGCGAAGGTGTAGTTGTCCTGAGGGAAGATAACAGCGACGTCACACACACAGCCGTGCGGCGTTCCAGGGGGACGCGCAGGGGGACACGTGTGCCCACAGGCCAGGCTGCGCACACGCCCTGGCAGTGCCGGCGAGGGCGACTCCGAGGGCCAGTCCGCCCTCTGATTGAGAGGCCAGCACCATCCCAGGAGCAGTGAACAGTGTCCCTGCGAGGGGGGGACACACCGACGAGGACACTGGGGCACTAAGGGGCAGCTCGCTTCAGGAAGTGCCTGCTGGAAGCGGACGGCGACCGGCCCGGCGCTGGCAGTGCCACGTCACGCCAACAATCCGAGGGCCAGCAGCACGGTCCCTGCCCCGGGAGAGCGAGCGTGTGGCCACTCCCCATGAACACGGTGACGACACTCACAGACGGAGGCAGGAACACCAGTCTCAGCCCCAGGGGGGTCTCAGGTCAGACGGAGCTGGCGTGGGAGCCTGCGACCTCTCTCGGCTCCGCCTCCTCGCCTGTGCCTCCCTCCCTGCTGTGAGACATGTCTTCCCCGGGGCCGCGGGCTGAGACCCGGTGCTTCTGCAGAAGGGGGCACGGCCAGCCAGCGCCTGATGGGCAAGCACCACCGGAAGCCGCTCTCCCTCTGCCCGGCGCCTGGCTGCGTGCCGACTGGGCAGAGCGTGGGTCCACAACCTGATGCCAGTGGCTCGGCTTGTTCACAGTGGGCGGGGCCAAGGGCGGGGCTGACTTTGGGGCTTTCAGAGGACGAAGCTGACGAGAAACTGAGCGGAGGCCTCGTTCCTACACAATAGGGTCAGCGTGTCGAGGTTACATGTTGGACATAAAGGTCCTTTGAGCCTCACACTGCCCAGGCCATCTGGGCACTTACAGCATCACTCACAGGCCACACAAAGTCATCAACCTAAAACTACCCTCTATTTTGGTCAAACATTTAATTAACTCGCCTCTAATGCCTTGGCAGGGCCAGGCCCATGACGGTGCGGGCCTTCCTCAGCCCACGGGCCAGACGCCCCCA